CCTCTCTTTTTGGTTTTTTTGTTTTGTTTTGTTTTTGTTTTTTTGGAAAGGTATTTTAAATGGAATGTGTACACAATTTATATGAAGCACTTAAAACATTAATGAATATGTTTATAAATCCCTTTGCGTGCTTTTGATAGAAAACCCTGTAAAGATAAGTATAATCTTGTAATAGCTGTACAACAGAGGGCCATTCATTAAGTTCCAACTTTTTGACAGGAGTAATGCAAAACACCATCAAATATTATTATCCATAATCAGGCTGGGGAGATAGCTCGGCAGTCTAAGTGCCAGCCTAGCAAGCTCAAGGACCTGGGTTCAATCCCCAGTACTGCATGCTGTGCCAGCCCCAGAAGCCCAGGCACACGGTGCCAGCACAGACACCACACATGCTGGCACACACTTATAATCCCAGCACTGGGCAAGCTGAGACAGGAAGATCACTACAAGTCTGAGCCTCATAGTGAGACCCTTTACCAAGTAAATAAATAAATAAAAAGATTTTGTAATTATCCATAATCTTCCTAAAAGAGAGGACTCATTTAATTCAGGAAGCCTGAATAATATTAGCAAACCACACAGATAAAAAGTGCTCCCCATAGGCTCTGAACATAGGTCTGTGTGAGGGGAAGCCAGCACACCTTAAAGACTTTCAGAGTGATCCTGTTTGAAATGACCATCTTGTGTAAGGTTGGGTCACTCATAGTTAGGCAGGGACAATTCACACCATTTCTCTCTCATTAAGGGGTTTGTGTGTTTGTTTTTGGAGGACAGGAAAGACTGAACAGTTTTTGAAAAACAACACACTTAATGAGCCCAAGTGGCCCCTATCTTGTGAGAAAGCATTTGCCACCACAGTGTGCCAGAGGCAGCCCAAAACACGGCAGCCAGGAAGTACAGTCTTCTGCCGTCTGCCCTGTCCATTAGATGAGCTCCCCTGTTGAATCCTTGGCCCAAGACAAGCTTCTGGCTCTAACCCACTCCGAAAATGCATTCTAGCAGCAGTACCATAAGCCTGGAAAGCCCTGACACAGGAAGCTCCCTAGAGCAGAAACAAGACAGACAAGCATGCTACCATGAGGTGAGCACACGTTGCCGAGGGAAAGAGTCTACTGAAACTCAAAAGACCTTCTTCCACCAAGCGCTGGAGAAATGAGACACGAAAAGCTTGGACACAGCTTCACCCACCTTCTCCCCAGCCCCCTCCTAAATGGGAGGCTCCAGACACTGATGGACAGATATTCTGCTCAGCCTTAAGGTCCCCACACAAGGCAATTTTCAGCCCTGCAGGAGTTTAAAAAGCATAAATAAAGGGCAGGAACGTTGGAGGTATGGGGAGGGAGGGACAAGGGAAGGGAGGGAAGCCAACTAGCAACACACCAGAGGCAGCAGTGACATTCAGACCTGAACCTGGAATTTTTGAATGGTTCAGAATCGGACCCTTTGTCACCTCTGATTGAGTTAGAAGACTGTTTTCCGTCTTCGTAATCAAGCACTTACGTAATCCTCCTCATTGAGCCCTTGTTTCTCAACAGAGCTTTTCACCTCCATGGAAAACTTCTCAAACTCAGGTTTCACGGACCTCAGTAGGGTGACTGTTTGGAGGGATGAGTACGCTTGCTTAGCTTCAAAGTCATGTTTGTCCCCTCTCTTCCACGAGCCATCTCCTACGGGAGAAATAAAAATATTTATCATTCCAAGCCGGTTACCATAAAGAGGCCATTCTCTCTCTCTCTCTCTCTCTCTCTCTCTCTCTCTCTCTCTCTCTCTCTCTCTTCAGCTGTGATGTGTCCCAACACGCTACTTCTGGCAGCTGGGGCAAGAGGTATCATCATGGTTTTGCACTTGCACGCTGTGTGACAATATCAAGATCATTGAAAGAGAAGATTCTTGGACACACGGCCCTTTGAGATGTGAGAGAGAAAGAGGAGCTCTGTTGGTGCAGTTGCCTTATGATTACCACGTAGCTGCAGTTCTCAGCCCTCCTCCAGAATTGCAGGGCTGGATTAAGAAGTAAGTCTTCATTCCTTTCCATTCGTGCTTATTTTTTTAACATATACATCAACTGTGGAGGTGAACCAATTTGCTGTTAGGTAGACTTAGGGCAGCTGGTGACAGCAGTGCACCACAGTAGAGAGGCACATGTGCTGTGCAGTTGGCACGGCTTAGAGAAACATGTTTGAGGTACTCAATACTTGTTGCATTTCTCCAGGGGGAAGCGTAGCTTAGGGGAACTTGAGGATTTGTGTCTCCCTGATCCTGGCAACATCATCAGAATTATATTTTGCACAATTTTCATCAGTGCATCAATGGTAATAAGTACATTGAAGATGTGGACAGTATTGATAAAAAGCTCTATTTTTGAGCACTTTTTTTTCCTGTATTTAGGACAAGGTCTCACTACACAAATTGGACTGGTAGGGATTCTCCTATATTCAGCCTCCCAAGAGCTGGGATTACAGGTGCGCGCCACCACACCCAGTCTCAATCAACATCTCAGTGAGCCCCCAGGGCAGGGCCTGCACAACCTGCCTGGGATTGAGCCCAGCCGCTGCACTCTGCCTAAGCAGGCACTTTAGTCAGCTGAGCTACCAGGCTGGCCCTTTATCACTTTATGTATAAACTTATTTAATTCTCATGAGATGCTATAAAATGAATACTATTGTCTTTTCTACTTTACAGATGAGGAAACTGATACTCTAAACTGTTGCTTCATATCTCTCTTTCACAAAAGTAATGACTTTTCACATGGAGAAAAACAATGTTTCTTTCATCTGAAAATACAACAAGGAAAGCAACGTGCTAACAACATACAAAGCATGTTTGCACCTTGAGCTCCCCATCCACAGCACACGCTGGCAGCCCAACAGCGCTGCAGCAAGCTTCTGCTCGGAACACACAGCAAGGTCTGTGGTACTTGTTCTGCTCTTCCAGAATTTCAAAAAAGACCTTGTGCCTGTGCAACTTCTACCCCAGCCTGAGTCACACTAAGATATCCAAATGATGTGCATGTTACATGCAAGGTCCTGTGGTACCCATGGTAAGCATCATATATGTCGTGAGCAGTGCCCAACAAATTCAAGAGAGAAATTTAGAGTGACACATGAACAACTGAAGCTATTACAGGGTGGTGCTAACAGCTTACTATGGAGGTAAGAAGGAGGAATGCAGAGTGTGGAGGAGGAGGCCACAAGCTCCAGCTAGGCAGAAGGTTTCATGTGAGGAGAAGGCACGAACCTAGCCCTAAACATATGAAGAGGAGTTTAGCAGAAGGAGCGGAGAGTGGGAACACATGGCCGGCAGAGCGCACAGCAGGGGCAAAGGTGCAAATGTGTACGCCTCCTGTGGGCGGGTGGGCACCTCTGTCTAGAGCATGAGGAAAGCACAGCCCAAAAAGATGTTGCTAGAGGTATCTGTACATTGGTAACCCTAATAGTAGCAACCATTTATAAATTGCTTACTCCATGCCAGAAAGCTGCTAAAAGATGAATAAGACAGAGCTGAGGGCAGGCTTCATTAAGGACTAGACCTGTACTCACTGAACACACGGCTTAATTTCAAGCCACCATACCCAACTTGACAAAGACCTCCAACTTTCCTGCTAGTCTTCCGAAGTCCCGCAAGGCCCCAGTCTGAGCAGTGCCATGCTTATGCTGAGGGAGCTGGAGAAACCCAGCAGGGTGCTCAACCCCAAGACACATGAGAGACAATGTTTGCCAAGAAACTGAATCCAGCTCTCAGGGGAGACCCCAAGTTCTAAGACTGCCCAGAACATTTCTTCCCATGAAGGACTCCATTCTCTATAGACCTTCAAAAACAGTTGCGGGCTCACTGTTCACTGATGCTGGGTCTCAGTACTCAACAGAACTGGTATTTCTTCAGCTAAGAGGCAGAATGTCTCAGCTCTGGGAAAGAAGTCTCTCTGGGGGCATAAGAAAAGAAAGCTTAACCCCATAGGGCTTTGTGCTGTGCAATTGTAAAAGACACATGGGACTGGAAGCAACAATTAGGCGTTACCAAAAGGAAAAGAACGTGTTTGTGAAGTCTCCCTGAGTGTGGTGGCACACACTTAGAATGCCAGCACCAGGGAGGCTGAGGCAGGAGGATTGATTACACAGTGAATTTAACACCAGTCTAAATGACAGAGTAAGATCTTGTTTCAAAGAAAAAAAAAAAAAAGATGTGAAATAAATATCCAATAAATGTCCAGTAAATCTGCCTACAACAGTCTACCAGGCAACTATTTTTGGAGTTTGGCTTTCCCGTGAGTGGAAACAATAGTGCATCATAAATTTAAGCAAAACAGCGTGAGTATCTGCACGCGAGCAAGCCTTCCAGCCTTCACAGTCACCCCTTACCGTGACGGATCAGGAGCGTCTCCAGTACCAGCACTGGTGAGCACTGGGAAAGCAAAGTCGGCTTGGCACAGCACCAGCAGTGGAGACAAATTTAAGTCACTAGACAACTTGGTGCCCCTGGAGATTTATGGGCAGGACGGAAGAGTGACATGATGAGAACCGCAGCGGATTAGAGTGAAGAGACACTGAACGTTCACAGCCGGAATCATTCAGACGCGAGGTTATGAGAGGTCACAGGTAGGAAGTCAGCCACCATAGGAAGGAAGGAAGGAAGGAAGGAAGGAAGGAAGGAAGGAAGGAAGGAAAGAAAGAAGGAAGGAAGGAAGGAAGGAGAGAGGGAGGGAGGGAAGGAGGCAGGGAGGGAGGGAAGACGAGAGGAGAGAGAGAGAGCGCAAGGAAGGAAGGAGGAGAAAGAAGGAAAGAAGAAAGAAAGGGAGGGAGGGAGGAAGAGAGAGAGCAAGGAAGGAGGAGGAAGAAGGAAAGAAGGAAAGAAGGAAGAAAGGAAGGAAGGGAGGGAGAAGAGAGAGAGAGAGAGAGAGAGAGAGAGAGAGAGAGAGAGAGAGAGAAAAGGAGGAAGGAACTCAGAACCTTGCACTTGCAAAGCAGGCCCTGCACTGCAAAGAACAGATACTATTTAAAACCCAACAGGAAAATGTATAATCTTATTTCTAGATTTTTTAATACCTAAACGCCATTAGTCAACTTCTTTCCTGTTTTGGCTAAAATTTAAATCAATCCCTGGAGCCCTGACTGCTGTCTAGAGAATGGATGCCAAGCACTAAGACTGAGCGAACAAGAAATAGGAAAAGCTTGTGGCTCTGGTGACCTTATGGAACCCTGTCTTTGCCCTGGACTTCCCATTTATGGAATTCTTTCAGGTAAAAGAACAGACCTCCACATTTATTTCAATCATTATCGCAGGGAAACTTGCTTATAAGTGCAAGAAAAATTCATAATCCACCCAGGTCAGTAGGATGTATTAACTAAAAGATGATTAATTTGGTAACAAGTTTATGACCCTAAATCTATCTATAAAACTACCACAAAAGAAAGTGTGTACTTATAACTTTAAAAGTATCATATATAATGGTCAAAGTAAACTAAGACTAATTATGAATGTGGCCAGTTATGTTCCAAGAAGTTTGCTAGGTATTTTACATACAACTCCTTATTTATTACTTACACCATCAGATAAGTACTATTAGTATTATTAGAAGAAACAAAAGTTTACAAATGGTAGAGTTATGTCACTTTAACAATGTTAGGGGTCCGGCGAGTGAGTGAGACAACCCAGGCC